ATAATCCCAAGGAGGCTGTGGGTCCCAGCCATCAGCAAAAGGAGTCATTAAAGGCTACTTTTATCGTAAAGCCCTGTCAAAAACACACATATTCTTGTGGTAATCACAGACTCCTTTAGGTTGAAAAAGACCTTCAAGATCATTGAGTCCAACCATCAACCAAGTCCACCTCTAAACCTTGTCCCCAAGTGCTACATCTATACACTCTTTAAATACATCCAGGGATGGAGCATGAAGGATTTAGAGCAAGTTTAAGAGCCACATTAAGCTTTTTTTTATTATTCCATTTAAAACCCCCAATCAAAACAAACAACACAAAACACTGCACAGTAAGACCTAACAGCTAACACCAGCTCTGATTTAATTTTACTTTTGCCAAATCATATCCAAAACCATAATTCAGGGTTGAATTACAAACCAGCAGGAACTACCTGAAGCCTAGAGCTGCCTTCTTTAGATGGTGACGAAGCCCCACCCAGGTGCCTTGTTCAGGAACACACCATCACAGCTTGCACCCAACAGCTACAACACGCTGCAAAATCAGTCTGCAAGTGGGACGCTCTTTATAAGCTCCAATACAAAGGGGAGGCACCAAATGCTATTAGCTGCTCAGTCATGAGATGCTTGTTTAACCCTCCCCATGCAGTCCAAGCAGAGCCCTACTGTATTAGTCCAACTGTGAGCAACAAATCTCACTACTTAATATGCAAATTCCCCTGGTCAGTCTTCCATAGAAGCACCATGAAAGCAGTTATTGTAACTTCAAATTAGACATGTGATATGCAGCACTGCACAGCACTCTAAAGAAAATATTTAAGAAACTGTTGTCCAGTTACTGAGAGCAGAGGTTGAGCACAATATTTGGCTTTCTCAAAGTTAATGAAGCTCCGGCACTGCATCAAACGCTGCAGGAGGAATTGATATTTTTAATAATCTCCTCTTCTAGCACGTCAATCAAATGTGCAGCCCTATTTCCACTTGTCCCTATTATCACTGTTGGGCGATAGGGGTAGCAGTAAAGAAGACAAATTTCAAACAGAATCAGTGTCTTTTATAACAAAGAAGAGCGATAAGAACTCCAGCAGGCAGGCGAACATCGTGTCAAGGAGAGCGCAGCAGCAATCAGACAGCTGCAGCCAAAAGGCCTAATCTGTAATGACTTGTCATGCCCGTGCTTCTAGACACTGTATTTCCTGCTCTTTCCTTATTCCACACAAAAACTGTCTCGCTGGACTTTACCAAGTAAGACAAAGTACTATGCAACTTCTAATAGGGGTAAGAGTGTGCCAGGAGAGAATGAACAGGCTCCTCCTTTTCCTTCTCACTGCTCCCCTTGGAAGAAGGAAAACAAATTGAGGAAGAGTCCTCCAGAAAGGACTTGTCTGTGAGGATAGAAGCTGGCAACTCTGATTTTGCTAAACTGAACACACTGTTAAACCTTATGTACCGACACAAGTGCAGAGTTTTCCAGCAGTTAACTCCAAACCCAAAGCTCTTCTGAACACACAACTGAAGAAGTCACATAATCTGGAAGTGACTGGAATAGCTATTTCTTGCCTGCTTTCACCGTTCTGCAGGGACTTAAGTCACCTTTGAGAGGGCAAGAAGAGACATGATGGTTGGCTCCTGAAAGCCTGGAATATCAGGTGGGAGACAGCTGAGCTAAAGATATGAAGTGGGGAAAAGCCCTACCTACAAACCATTTAATTATCACCTTTTATTCTTCTTTGTGTCTCCTTTAATGAGCCCCCAATAAATCCATCTCACCATCCAGAACACTCATCACAATTTGACTCTGCTGGACTACAACACGCTGAGCAACCAGGCAGGAACTTTTTCCTATCTATGACAAGCAATATTCTGTTGAAATGAACTCTTGCTAAAAAGAGCAGCGATAATGAAATGGCTGGTACCAATCTGCTAAGACCATTTCATTTCCAGCAGGATGGGCAGAGCAGCATCTGTTAAATTCTTGGTAAGGAACAGACTCTTCCTGCTTCGGTCAATGCAAAGAGAAACATGCAATAGTATTTTTGATTAGCTCAGTCTCACACATGGAGACACACCTGAGGATATACAACAGCTCTCCGGATACACACAAGCATCTTGACCTTGAAAAATACCCATAGTGAGACAAAGAAAGCACACGTGGCCAGGACATGCTGTCAGCTTCACCGAGCAGCAGAGAAGTAATGGGAAGTGCCGGCGATTTACAAAAAGGCTGAGGAGAATACAGGGATGTGACAAATCCTCATCTCAGTTCCAGTGATACAATTGAGCACGATTTCTCCACTCCCCACAGCACTGCAACAGATCGAGACTGGGATGAATCAGACTGAAGATCTGGCTCCCACTTTCACACAGCATCACACACTGCTACTACTGTCTAATCCATCTCTTGACCACTCGTAATTCTCCAGGAAGCTTTTCCTTTCTGGGAAAAAGACAAAGCCTCCCCAAAGTAAGTCAATCATTGGCAGTGCTCTGGTTAGAACCGCAATGTTTCTGTTCCAAAACACCTTCCTAGGATTTATAAATATTCCGCCCCTGCTCACTGACAGCAATCTGAAACCAAAAACACCAGGTTAGGTCACAGCCCCAGAGGTGGAGGAAACAAGCCTTATTTGGGGAGCAGGAATAAGTCATCTTTCTGCATAGGTCTAGTCTCCAAATCATGTTCACTTGAGCTTCAGCTGGCTCACTTGCTGATGCCTTGAGACAGAAGCCCCCTTGAGAGATTTCATACTTGGTGTGGACATGTTTGCAGAATTCGTAAAGCTCAGAATTTGTGCAGGCTGGACTTTGACATCTGGGGCGTCAGATTTACAGAAGGTATTTTGAGGCTTTTTCAGTTTAACCTAACCCTCCTTTTTTTCTTGTGGAGAGGCAGGAACAGATACATAACCTTACAAAACAGGCTATTGCACACTGTAGCTGATTGTTTAAGACAGTCCTAAGAAGCTCATAATTCAACTGAAATTTCATCGCTTCTCACTTCAGCGAGACAACCTTAAGGAACATTATCCTTAGAGCATGAATCAACACGAGCCAGCTGACACGCATTTCACATCTCTTACATCTTGAAACCCCAGCTGCTGTTGTAATGCACCAAGCACAATGGGTTATTTAACCCCAGAGCAGCAGTGGGCTGTGCCATGGAAGCGCCACACAGGAATACGCTCCAAGCAAGTCCACCTGGGACAGTATTGTGTGCACAACCCGGACAGAGACCACCCACCTCATGTGCTGCTACTGGGTGTGTAATCTGACTGGTTTACAATATCAGCCAAACTCTGGTAATGTTTTTTTCCCATCTCATTCATTCGATACCACAGGCAAGATAAGGGCGAGGAAATTAAACTGAGGCTATTTCTGTGACATGATCTCACCTCATAACACCTGGCTACCAAAGCAGACCTCAGGACAAACATCAGCAGAGCTTTTAATGCTATTTTTCAATCAAGAATTTTTGGGTATGTGATGATTCCTGCCATTCTTTTCCTCGACTGGTCCATTCCACATGACACTCTTGTAGTTTTTTTACTAGTTGATAAGTCTGCTTAGCACAAATGCATTTTAGGTAACTCCCTTTTCCCCTTTTTTTCCTAATAGAGGAGAGTAAGGAAGACTCATACTAGTCAAAGCTATAAAATTCCTTTGAATGACAATGATGTGATTAAATGCAAGAAAGGTCATGGAGTCTCCCTCTCTGGAGAAATTCAGAACCCACCTGGACACGTTTCTGTGTCATCTGCTCCAGCTGACCCTGCCTTGGCAGGGGGTTGGACTGCATAATTTCTAGAGGTCCCTCCCAACCCCAACTATTCTGTGATTCTGTGAAATCCCACACAGTTCTTAGCAGCTGGACTTACTGGTATTTCTATGAACTCTGTATCTGGCATTAATCAGCAGATGATTGTTTCAGATACAATTGTGAGTGCTGCATTTTTTTACATAATGGAATGACAGCAAAGTCACTGATATAACAGAACACCCATCAGCTGGGACATCCGAAATAAAACCAGACTGATAAATAATACCCCGTAAGGTACAGGGGAAAACGTAGACCTATGTCAGCAATTTTCATCCTGAAATCTATGGACCCTGCACGTGTAAGGACTACTTATAAGTCAAGTGTCCCGTTGATAGGCTGACTTTAAATGATTATAAAGCATATACAGCTCAGCTGGAGAACATCAGGGGTCCACAAACCTACAAACGTTGAAAAAGCAATCATTCAGGCATTTAAGTAGAGAAAAACATGAGGATAAGGGCCGCTCACACTGCAGCAGTGTTTCCACAGAGGCTTTGCTCCTTAAGTAGGTGTGCACTTGCACATGAGTGAGAACGCGCTCCAGCACCTCAAGTCGGTGGAAATCGATCACTTAGCATGGGAGACATAGGCTGGAGGAAAGCATCCATCCTCCTCGGTGAGAATAAAAAGGAAAACAAACCCCAAACCCGCAGCAGCGCCAGGATCTAAGTGAAACGAAGAATCATTTTCCGCACACCGCAAGGAGCTGAGCCCAAGGAAAACAAACTTTAGGAGCCCCAGGCAGGCCCTTTCCCCAGCCTGTCTTTTATTTCGCCAGCCGCCTGCCCCGGGGCCGCGCCGCGGAGCCCCGGGCACTGCTGTCCCAGCACTGAGCCCCGACACAGCCCCCCCGGCACCCCGACAGTGACCCCCTGACCCTGAACGCCCCCCGGCAGAGCCCCCCGACCGGCCGGGGCAGCCGGGGCGGGGCGGGGGCTCTGCCCGACGGGGCCATCCCGCCGAGCTCCTGCACGGCCCCGTCGCCCCGGGAAAGTTCGGGCGGGGGGGGAACAGCCGGGGGAGAAGCTGGAGGAGAAGCGGGGGCAGAAGCAGGGGGAGCGGCCGGACGCGGCGCCCCGAGGCCGGCGACGGCAGCGCGTCTCCCCCGCCCGCCGCAGGCCCCGGCCCGCAGCGCCCGCCCCGGGGTCCCCCCGCGGGCCCCCCCCGGCCCAGCCCCGGCGCTCACCTCCGGTGCCGTCCGAGTTCTCGTTGAGGCTGCCCGAGGAGTCGTGGTGGGAGCCCACACACCCGCCCATGGGGCCCGCAGACCCGCCGCCGAGCCGCCCCCCGCCCCCCTCCCCTGCACCGAGCTCCGCCGCCGGCCGGGCAGGCGCGATGGCTCCGGAGCCGCCTCCCCGCTCGGCAAC